AAAAAATCAAAAAATGCGCACCTGCTTAATGTTTCAACATCAATGGGAACAAAGACTCCAGACAAACATCTCCATAGAAGCTGTAGACATTGATTACTGTGTAACAAGAACAATCCATTATGAAGGATAATAACCATTATTCAACAGGCTGGAACTAGCTGCCATTTCCTTCTCTATCTGTCATGTTGCTGGTATGGTTGCATATCTGCCTGTTGTCCTCTGGATTCTTAATGTATTAATGTATGAGCCTACGCTTTTGTGTATTAGCATACTCATTTTACATTGAAGAGTATTGCAGCAAATCAACTGCTCACCTCACATACACCTTGCAGCACAGGTTATTAACAACTGATTGAAAACTGACTGACACCCCCATGCTCCCACTTTCCAGCCCCACTAATTTACAGATATTGAGATTAAACGTAACACATTTACATCACCAAACCATTAAGATCAATAATTCATCTTAGGTTAGTTAGATTTGAGGATCAAATGATAATCTAAGATCATCTCCATCCAAGTAGAATCAGACACCACAAGGGGAAGCCTATCTGAACCAGCTGTTTGGAAAAGTTTTCCAATCAAACCTACTTCCCTGTTCTTCTCCCATTCCACGAACAATTCAATTTCCTTTTGAAAATTACTATTGTCTATTCCTTTACAACATTTCCACCCAGTGTATGCAGGTCATAATGACTTGTCTCACTATCTTAACATAAATTATAGAGAGAGAATTTGATAAATTAAGAAAATGCAAAAGCTGAGGCAAATAGATTTCTTTTGAGGAAAGTTCAAGATCATCCACTTTAGACCTAACAAGGATAGAACAGCATACTTTCAAAATAGGGAAATGTTAAAAACAGTATATTTCTAAAGAGATTTAGGGATACAGATTCACAGAAAATTAAAATGTCATACAAAGTTTCAAAAAAAATTATCAAAAGACTTGACAGAGCACTGGCTTAGAGGTCTTGTGGTGCAGTGTTAGTGTCCCCACCTCAGATCCAGGAGGTAGTAGGAACTGCAGATGCTGGAGAATCCGAGACAACAAGGTGCAGGGCTGGATGAACACAGCAGGCCAAGCAGCATCATAGGAGCAGAGAGGCTGACGTTTCGGG